CATTGACTATAATATATATATATATATATATATATATATTAGATGTGATAGAAAATATCATCAAAAAATATGGGGTAACTAATGTGTCATCAAGAATCCTTATCATTTGGCACACATCTTGAGGTAATATTTTGAACAAGAAATATTTCGTTCTAAATTTAAGATCATTTAGGGCTCTAATTTTAACGAGTTTATATTAAGTCATTAAAGACTATTTGAAGGCTTAAAATCATTAATTGAATGAGAAAAAAAAAAACTCTAAATTTGACATATCTATGCTCAAATTGTGTGTCTCAATGGGAGGGATCCAACGAGCCTAAACTCTCTTAAGTATGAGATCATTAAGGCCCACAAATCATAAAAAACTCATTATGATTAAGATGAATCAATATTTGATCGGGTGGTCGAGGAATTTATTTGCAAAAAGAACAAAATGCCCCTACGCCAGATACTACAAATGGACCTCCTTCAAGAGGGAGGAGAAGGAGAAAATTACGGTGCTTTTCTGGATTGAAGACTCGTGATAACTCCCGGTCTCTGTAGGTGTCGATCACTATCAACTTGTCTGTCGTCATCGACCTCCATCGATTATTGTCTGTCGGCCTCCATTGACTACATCCGACCGTCCATGCTCACCATCATCTATGAACTCTGCTAGCTAATGATGTATCCCGAGTATTGTGTAATAATATTTCTTGAATATGGTGTAGTGATCTATCTTAAATACCGTATAACAAATACCATCATATTTCCCGGTGATAACTTACGTCCTCTATAGCCGCCAACCACCATCAGTCATTACCTATTGACCGCCGTCAACCATCATTTGTTGCACCCTACTTGCCATCATCAGTGAACTCTATTTGCTTACCAAGTATCCTAAATATGGTGCAATGAATTATCTCAAATATAGAGTAACAAGGTTTCAGAAAACGATGTATCATGAATATAATGTAACGAATTATTTCAAATGCTGAGTAACGAAGTATCCCAAGTACGGGTAATAATGTTTCATGAATACTATGTGGTAACGTATCCCAAACACGATGTATTGAAAGATCTGGAGATAACTGCAAATGTTCATTGTATTCAAAATATGCTGACTTTCTCTGGACTTCGAAGGTTTTCTCCTTACGTCATATACCAATAAGTGATGTCTCTGATGTCAAATAGTAAACCTGTAAGATGAGTTGCAGCTCGTAGTCAGTGTACCAATGACGATCTATGTGACTATTGAATTATTAACTATGATAAGGATGTTATCTACATATAAAGTAAGATTTTGTCCATGATCGCCATGGTTTGCAATATTATCCATTTATATATATATATATATATAAGAATAGCTTGATGTCGATAAAGTAGTAAGGATGGGTAAATATCACTCAACTAAAATTCCTACTGCAATAAGTGAAAAGATAATGTGGTAAATTATTATCAAGATGCTAGCTTTAGATAAAAAAAATACTTTATTAAAACATCAAATATATTCATGATATAATAGGTTCTAAAAATCTTATGGCTGCTTCATGTTGATAGACTAAGTTATATGGCCATGCAAGAAAGCAAGGAAGACATCCACATTCAAAAATTCCTATTGATGTTGATAAGCTATGATTAACAATATCATTGATATTTATGCAATTTGAAACTAAAGTAATATAAAAATTGTTACTACTTATATCATTAAGCCACTAACTGAGTTTTGTATCTAATGATGCTATCATTAGAATTGCATTTATTTTGTAAAGTTATTTACTACCCATAACTATTTGTTCAAATGGTGAGGGAATCAGAGTCCAAGTTCTTTGGGATTATAAAGTATAAAACTCTTGTGACATTGCTTATCACTATTGTGGTATTTTTAATAGCAGTAGTATAACAGTTAAGGTTTGAAATTGTGTGTATCATTTGGTGTAAATCAATAATTTTTGCACAGGTAATTATGATATGATTAAAAGTCTCTAGTAGAGGAAGGACTTCTTGATTGATGTGGACAACAAGAAATAAAAGGTGAAGAAGTATGATGTGACAGAGAGATTTGACTTGATACAAGCAAATTAATTATAATAATAGAAGTGGGAATCAATAATGAAGTGCAAATATCAAGTAAAATTTGTCTCATAAGAAAGCTTGGAAATAGGGAACTAAAGTTGTTTTGTTCATAAAAAAATTAATGTTGAGATACATTGATTTTGCCAATTACAAGGTCAAGGCATTTATAATCTTTTAAGTGTGGTGCATATCGTAGGTTTGGTATAAGGAGATTAATATTGAAGCCATGGGTATACACCCATAGTTGAATGATTGAAAATCTGAATATTAGGATATCTTATGTTAAATGAGCTGAATGAGAGATATCTATTTTTTTTTTAAAATTAATCATTTATATCATAATTAGTTATGATTAATGCATCAAGCCATAAGTTATGAGTTAATTAATGAGAAATATGATGAAAATCTCTATAAGATGCTTACTTTTTTGTCCTACAACCCCCTTCTATTCAGAAGGATAAGGGTGGGTTAAATGATGAATGAGTCTCCAAGAGGATGGTATAACTTATGAAGACTTCATTGTGCTTTCACTTCCTCTATCAACCCTCAAAACTTTATTGTCTTTCAACTATAGTTTTGAAATGGGTACATTTAGATATAGTTTCAAATTTTGATCTCATCAAATAAATTCAACAAAAGTCAGTGTAAATATCAATAAACACTATATCATAACAAAAGCTTTGAGTCAAAATGAATTGGAAAAGATCTCTAAACAGTAGAGTGTGTTAGTGTTAAAAGTTTCATATATATTATTATAAGATTTATTTAATAGAATTTTGTGGCTCTTTATTAAACAACATGATGTACAAGAAGTGCAACTCTTGAAAATATGAAGAAAAGAAAATTGATTAAATTAAAAATATATGGTAATAAAATTAGGATGCTCAAGATCTATGCTAGATTTTAACTATAAAAGTAGAGGGCTGTGAAGAGGACGGAGAGCTGAAAGATGTAGCAGGATAGATTCCATCATGATTGGGTCTTTGGAGGATGATCTAATTATGTTCCAAATTAATGATTTGAAAATAAAATTTTTCCAAATAAAAGGAATAGGAGCTATTAAGTATGAGTTTTTTAATTGATATTATTAGATTATGTGCATACACATAATTTCATAAGAGATTTGGAAAAAAGTAACTTAATATTGGAAGCAACAAGGATGTTGTCTCCAGTATGAGTAATTTAAGTGAATTGCCCATTGCCCCCAAAGACTTGTTAACTTTCTTGGTATGTTGTAGAAGAGCTTCGATGGTTGGGGTTGGTTGTAAGGTGTATTATAACACCTGAATCAAAATACTATGCATCATTTAGTTATACCAAGCTACTAATATGGTGTAATGAGGCATCACTGTAGGAATCTAAGACATTCATCATGTGCTAATAGTGAGAAGAAAAGTAATATGCTTTGCTACAAATTTGACAAATAACGTAAGTGGAAAAGGAGTGACCTCCTCTATTTGATATGTCACAACCATCATAAATAAGAGAGGCATGATGCTCAAGATCTTTGAAGTAATTGGACACTTTGGTTAGGCCATGTCCACATGAAGAGAAGAGTAAGGTTAGATTTGAAAGTTAAGAGTTTTGTTTTTTATCAATCTCAATAGCCAAGTTAATCATCTTGCCCCAAAGAGGAGATTAAAAATAATCTTGGTGCAATCAGAGTGAGTATGAAGTCTCAATTGTAATCGTATAGGCTTGATATTTTGGTGGCAAGCTATTGATGATTTAAGTAATAAAATCTTCAACAACAACGATCAATTTGACAATAATTGTACTATCCACAATAGTTGACTTATAATAAACTTGGAGTCACGGTGTGGGATTTCATAGCAATATCATGCAACTTATTTTTTAGTTGAATATCTTGGGATCTATAAGATGATTGTAATATATTTTCTTTTGTGGTTCATATTTCATAGTTGGTGTTCAAACTCAAAACAAAAGAAATAATGAAAAAATAATCGTACAAAGATCAACAACATAATCCTAATAAATGAGAGACTGGGTGCATTGAGCAAAATTTGGGATGAGTTGATTGGACTTAATAAGGATACATTCATTTGAAAAAGCTGTAGAACCAATAAGAAACCATTCAAAATAGTCCACTAGATGAAGTTTTAGAAAATGCATAATCCATTTGTGATAATTATCAGTAGACAATTGCATAAGAAATTGTGTGATATGTATATAAATAAGTTGAGCTGAGCTCAGGTCATACCTAACTAGAGTAAATTTTTTGTTAAAATGAAAGCTCAAACATGGCTTAAGCACAAATGTAGAGCTTGAGCTCAACTCGCAATACTGAAAGTAGGCTAGCACGAGAACTTGTGGCCTTGAATATAATTGTCATGAGAGCTCACTAGAGAAGCAATCTATGAAATCGATGGCTAGATAGAAGGAGAAGTTCAACAACAACTCGTCAGAGAAGGCATTGATGTGACTAGTGGCCAACTGGTCCAACCCACTAGACGATAAGCCAAGCTTCGATGTGCTTGAGCTTAATTAATAAACGAGCTTAAGTTTGAACTCATAGCTTGATGAGCTCAACTTGCGAGCTCGTTAACTAGTCGAGCTCTAGTCGGCTTGCCTCACTTACATCCCTATCATATTTGATTTCAACAAATCGAGTTGGGGGAATTATCGAACATGTCCATTGTGGCATCAATATTAGATAAATGATTCAATGAGATTGCAAAATATTTTATAAGGCAAATTAGCTAGATAATGAAAGGAAAAACAATGCCAATGAAGAGAGTAAAAAAGAGAAAGCAAAAAAAAAAAAGAAAAAAAAAAGATGAAAAAAATAAAATTTCAAGTGCTATTACTAATGATACCATAATGGAAGAAAGAAAATGATGATGAAGAAAAAAATATAGAACAGTAGATTTTAGAGAGCAATTTTATTCCCCTTCGAGAGCCACAACGCAGTATTTATCCTGTAATGGCATGTTAGCTAGGAGTGTCAAATAGGGTTTGTGAGTTGGGTTCTGGTCTGACATAAAATTGACCTGTTTCGAATACTAACGGGTTAGAAAGTCCAACCCATCTTCAACATGACAACCCGAACTCAACTCAATTCTCATTTAACATAATAATTATTCATGTGGATTTCAGATCAAATTTAAGTCAAGTTTGGGTCAATTTCAAATTAGCAGGTAAACTTCGTGTCAATTAAGATTAGAGGGTCAAATTTGGTTTGGAGGGTCAACCCAAATTCGACAAAACATTAAACATATTAGGATTATTAACCCGAAACCCACCCAAATTATTTGAGTTAAACTCGAATTTTTCGAATTGAGTTGACATCTTGGGTCAAATTTCGACACCATTAATGTCAGCACATCATTAGGTATCATATTAAATGCACATTATTCTCTCATTGGTTAGGTGGTGTAGATTGTTTTTTGCTGGAACACATTATTGATCTGATTGTTCGAGATGAACGGTGCAGATTTAATTACCATCCAATATGATCGTGTGGATACATATATATAAACATGAAGAAAAAAAAAATGCCAAGCGATCACATAACATCAAAAATTAAAAAAAAAAACATTATAGATTTATGATAAATGTATTGAAATAAAATGAGAATACGCAATAAGGTAAAATAGTCAAATGATCTATTATGTACCCATTAGTATAATGGACTAGTTTTCCTTAAACAACATTCGAACTAATTCAGGTAACACCTTCATATATATTAATTAAAAATTTGGACATTTCTCGATATATGCGTGTCATCCTTGCGCAAGGGCCATGCTAATCATCTCTGTATCATTCCAATTTTATCGGATGTCTAAACACATATAATACCTAAATAGATAAACATGACAATACCTAAATAGATATTGATCTTTATGAACTTTAAAATTATTAAATTTGCAACTAGAAAAATTGTAATATAAAAAAAATTATTATTTATATAATAATTAATCTTAAAATAAATTCAAAATTTTAAAAAGGGGCTTTTATATATGAAGGCCCACAAGTAATACTTATTACATGTAAAAACTCCAAAAAAAATTAATTTATAGGTGAAGGTCTTCTGTTACAGCCAGCAACGGAAAACTTTGGCGTGACTTTCTCGACGCGGATTCCTCTCTCAGCTCAAAAACCCACGCCTACACCCTGCCCTCTCCCGATTTCGTCCAGATCTTTGGCCCAAACTCCTCTCTACAACAATGGCAGGGCTTCTGACATGGTAGAGCCCTCAACCCTTGCCTACATCCTACAAGCGAAGAGAGAAGAATGACGAGAACAGACTTACCTTCTTCAATAATTTCTGGTAGGAGCCGAGCAAAAGAATGAGAAAGAAGAGAGTTTCAGCGATCTCTATAAGTCTCGATCTTATCTTTGACTTCCCAGCTAACTCTAATGGTGACTATATCATGATGCTTCGTTCACGAAGGCAATAGTTTGAAAAAAATAAGAGGGCGAGGGAGATGAGTGAGGGTTTGGGGCGGAGAAGGGAGAGGGGTTAAATCAGGAGAGGGAAGGATGTAGGCGAGAGTTTCGGACGGAGGGGAGGCCACGCTAGTAAGCCAAGCCATCGATTGCAGCAAAAGATCTTTATCTGTAAATTTGATTTTTGGGGCCTTTACATGTAATAAGTATGGGGCGTTTTACTTGAGAACCTCCATATGTAAAAGCCCCTTTTACTTCAAAATTATATCTTTACCCAATTTTCTCCACACGCCAGCAATTCACAACTTAGTGTAGACAGCGGAAAAAATTTGCGTACGATAGACGTACGCAGCGCTGCGTGCGATATTGGGATATACCGAGGGTACAAGGGGGTTACATCCACGGTATAAGCCCTTGTAACCTCTCTGTAACCTCCCTGTAACCTCCCTGTAACTTACGTGTAATCTCTTAATATATGATAACAGAAGCGCGAAACTTATTTTAGGGTACAGATAGGTTACAACAAGTTACAGAGAGGTTACAAGGGGTTATACCGTGGATGTAACCCCCTTGTACCCTCGGTATAACCCTAATAACGCACGCAGCGCTGCGTACGTCTATCGCACGCAAATTTTTTCCGTAGACAGCATAGCAGGACAATGTTAGCAACTCGGAATGAAAGAAAAAAATTACTGCAGTTAATCAGAAAACGAGTTCAGCTTTATTTTAAGCTAAGCAAACATTATTTGCCTAAAAAACCAGGAATTCAAGACACAAAATATTAAAACTCGCATGTAGCTCTAAAAATGAACAGATATATATATATATATATATATATGCGAAACATGACTACAATAATCTTTAATAAAAATTCTCCCCAAACACTTCAACGGATCTTGGAAGAAGCTGCAAGTGGGGCATCTACGAATGCAGCTCATTAGAAATCAGTCAACTGCTATTCCCTTCAAAACTCAGTTGTAGCCCAAAGAAAACAATACCTCAACCCCAGATGGGTTCCTGTTTAGATAAGAATTTCAAAGTTAAATTCCAAGAAACTATTTTATTAATTTTAGAGAATCATATGCCTAACACTATTCTCAACCCTGCAAAACCAATTTAGAAACCAGTCTTATACTATCAGCATGGAGATCTTACAGTTATTAATTAATGTTTCCAACAAGTTGGAGTCAAAATAACTTCGAGATCAATTTTATCTTTGTTTCAATTTTTTTTTTTAAAATATGTTTGTTTGGTGTATATCTACGGTTTTAGAGAAGAAAGATGTTGATACGACTTATATTCAAGTCATTAAATATATGTATGCTAGACTGTTATTTGTGTTCGAACAAAAGGGGAATTGACCAATTATTTTCCTATTTAAGTTGGATTACATCAGGGATAGGCCTTAAGTTCATATCTTTTTGCTTGTCATGGATGCTCTTACGGGAAATTTACAAGAGGATGTACTTGGTATATGTTTTTTGCTAATGATATCCTTCTTGTGGATAAGACTAGAGAAAGAGTTCAAGAAAAACTTAAATTATGTATATAGGAGTCTAAATGTCTTTGTTTGAGTAGATCTAAAACTGAATACATGGAATGCAATTTAGTAGCAGTAGCTCTAGTGGCAGAGTTGTAACTATGGTTGATCAAATCATTAAAAGGTATGAACATTTTAGATAGTTTGAGTTTATTGTTCAAAATGATGGTGAAATAGTTAGAGATGTTATTAGTAGAACTCAAGTTGGTTGGTTGAAGTGGAGGAATTTATCGGGCTTATCGTGTGATAGCAAAGTACTGCTTAGACTGAAAGAAAAATTTTATAAGATAGTAATGAGACCTGCAATGCTCTATGGCACACAATGTTGGCTTTTAAAAGAAAGCATATAGCAAAGTTAAGAGTTGTTGAAATGAGAATGCTTAAGTGAATGAGTAACTTGAAACTTAGAGAGTACAAAATGAATATATCCGTGATAGGGTTGGTGTAGCTCCAGTGGAGGACAAGATTAGAGAGAGATGTCTTAGACAGTCTGATGATCCGGTTAGGAGACTAGATGTTTTAGATTCAACTTATGTTAAGAAAGACAGAGGTATACCTAAAGAAACTTAGACTTATTGATCTTAATCGAGTAACTTGACACTCAAAGACAATACAAAATGAATATAATTGTGATAGGGTTGGTGTAGCTCCAATGGAGGACAAGATAGAGAGAGACGCCTTAGATGGTCTGATGATCCGGTTAGGGGAGTAGATGTTTTAGATTCAACTTATGTTAAGAAAGGCAGAGATAGGCCTAAAAAAACTTAAAGATTTATTGTATAAAAAATGATCTTAATCTATTAGAATTTAATGAAAATATGACACTCAACAGGACGCCATGGAGAAAAAGGATTCATGTAGCCGACCCACTTAGTGTAATAAAGACTTGTTATTGTTGTTGCTTGAAATTTTTTTTTAAATAAATCAATTAGTTCTAAAAAGATCATGCATAGCCATTTTGGTTTAGTGGTTGAGAGCTTTGTTTTTCAATCAAGAAGTCATGTGTTTAAGACCTTGCATATGCGGTGTGCAGGAATTTGGATGTGTGTGGAAGAAACAGAAACCAAGTTTAAAAAAATTCAAAATAGAAAAAAATTATTTTGAGAGTTTTTTGTTCTCAGCATATCACATTTGTTTTATTTCAATTTAAAACATAAACAAACTAAAATAAAAACAAGATGATTCAGTAACTAGTGGATGAGAAATCATATACACACATGTAAAGCCGACTGCCTATCGTCTTCTTGCAGCAGAATTTGGAGCTCGTTGAACAATTGGCTGCTGAGGCTGGGAAGCAGGTTGGCCAGCAGGCTGCTGCTCTTCGGGTATATTCATGGCTTGAGTGACAGCATTCAGCACAATCAATCCAAGAGGAATTAGATACATCCACTGCATAATAAGAAAAAAAATTAGCAGGAAAAGGTGTGAGGAATCAGATACATCCACTGCACAATAAGAAAAAAATTGCAGGAAAAGATGTGAATTTAAGAGTAGGTTGTCGAACTTAACATGCTTTGAATAAGGCAGAAGCAAATCTGGGAGTGATAAAACAATCAGTTCATTTATAATCATATTAAACAATCAGTTCATTTATAATCATATTAAAAAAGGAGCTTGTGCTTTTACAATAGTGTAAATTCCAACTTTAACTTCAAAAATATGGAGCGCTTACATACATATCACACATTTCTTGTATACTTACACATCTAACACCTAAATTTTTCTATCTGCATGCATAAAACTCAAATCCCTAGCGTCACCTAAAAAATATCACTCTTACTAACTTTATAAAAGCGAAATCCACTTTTTCATGTATAGGCTCATAGCACAAAAGTGTTATAAATGTAAATATCAAACTTTAGGTGTTAGATATGTAAAAAAAATTAAAGAATCGTGTGATATGTATGTCAATTTCCCAAAAAATAAATCCTGATATGTATGTAAATTTTTCTAAAAATAAATCTTTTCCCTTCAAATGAAAGAAAGCAAAAGACGCATCTTCAACTACAAAAAAAGAGGCACTTACAAACAGACCACCCGAAACTTGGTATTTACAAATCCAACCACCCTCTTTTATCCATTTTTCAAATTCTCACTCAAATATCAAAATTCATGGTAAAACCCCAACCCCTATTATCAACTTTTCCTTAAATTCTCAATAATTTGATCGTGTCATGTGCAGATAAATTGGTTCGATAGTTCAGAAACAAATCACCTGGGTGGTTAATTTGTAAATATCAATGTTTTGGGTGGTCTGTATGTAATTATACCAATGAATAAATAAATAAATAAATAAATAAAATGTAACTCTTTAAATAAGAGACCAAGTGCTGTGAATCGTTGATTTCAAAAACAAGTTCTTACAATTCAAATGAAGAAGAGCAAGCGATTCCTTGTTGCGCCAAAATTTACTCACCGATCCCAAGATCGAATTCTCGATTTAATTTATTGATCGAAAAAGTTGCTGACTTCAACCATTATCTTTTCGGCTTTCATTAGGCTCCAGATTGTACTACCTTCAGTAAACAAGACAACGGTGACTAAACACTCTATCTCAGTGTTAATATTCATTCTAGAGCCGACACATCCAGAATTCATTCACTGATCGTTTAAGGCCAAATCCCCAACCACTCAGAAACAAAGTTTATACCCTCTTAAAAGAACTTTAGTGAAGAGCTCTACTTACAAATCTTTGATGGAAAAAACTAAGCATAAAGTTAGGCAGTTGATCCTTATAACTACCTATGCATTTAATTAACTAGAAAAAATTGTTTGATCAGGAGAAACAACGACTAGCGAACAAGATTCGCCTCAGATCAAGCATCTGAATGTGGACAAGTTTTATCTTTTCTCTATTTATTTTTTGAGTTATCAGTACGTACATATATAGCTCTCTCACTCATTTCAATTTATCCTTCACTTCTGGATTGGAAAAGAAAATGTAATTTTTTCTCTGTAACACAACTCTTTATTTGTTCTTGTTTTCTTTAATAAACAAGATCTTGTTATTCATATTTCCAATATTTACACATTCAACCGCATATTTTGCTATGATTCTTCTTTATTAATGATGTAGATGGCCTAAGAAGGCTGTATAATTTATCAAATTTATAAGCAGCCAGTACTTTATTTAGATGAGTTTCACAATTTAATTCTCCAGGTGTTCATTCTCCTATCAATGAATTCTTCCAAAACAAACTCTCATGTTTTCCTACAGTTTAACCGTATATTACACTTTGCTCAAATTCAGAGACTACTAGAAGCACCATTAAACTTGAGAGTTCCAAAGACAATCATCTTCATAAACTCATCTTCTCTCCTCATCATAGTGACCAATTTTCTAGTCCTTAACATCATAAAATGATTGTAGGTATAATATTAGTTGCAATATAAATATTTTTTACCTTTCTCACAGCGCTTTTCATTTTTAACGACACTATAAATTTAGGCCTAAATGCATTTTATTCTTCCATTTAAAATTTTAGTTTCAATAGTTCCAATCAAGTTTTGTAAATTCTCAAACGAACCTCATTAATGAGTTCTACCTCGAATTTTTAATGGTAATGTCTCCCTGCGGAAGGTAACGTAGCACATATGTAACCAAATATATATATATATTATATTGTAAGATTTGGAAGGAAAAAAATAATTATTTCTCTTCAATTTCTTAGAAAATGATTACAAGATAAATAGAAGGGGGTGACTCCCACAATAGGAAATTAATAAAATCCTTCATAACTCCTCATAATAAAAGAAGGAAACCTAAAATTATGACATACAATTACCTTTAAATCCTAAAAATAAAAAAGACTAATAATAAAAGAAACTAAAAATAAAATATTCCTAAAAAAATCTGACACCCCCTCTCAAGTTGGAGCATAAATATCTGTCATGTCCAACTTGCTTACAAGAAACTCAAAACTAGTCCTAAAAAATCCTTTTGTGCAAATATCTATTAATTGTTGTGCCGTCAGAGCGAAAGGCATGCAAATAGCTCCACAATCAATCTTCTCTTTTATGAAGTGTCTATCAATCTCCATATATTTGGAGCAGTCAAGTTGCATTGGATTTTCTACAAAACTTATGACAACTTTATTGCCATAGTATAACTTCATGGGCATGCTTATCGGGATACACAACTCTTCAATAATTCCCTTCAGCCATAAAATCTTACATGCTCCATTAGCCATAACTCGATATTCTGCCTCGGCACTGCTCCTTATCACCACATTCTACTTCTTACTTCACCATGTAACCAGATTCCCAAGACATAAGTGCAGTATCCAGACGTCGATCTCTTATCAACAACTGGGGCCTCTCAATCTGGGTCAGTGTATGTCTCTATGTTTTATTGTAAGGTCTTCTGAAAGAGTAAACCCCCACCTCATGTACATTTTAGGTATTTGAGAATCCCGTTAACAGCTTCAAGGTGTTTTGCCAAGAGTGAATGCATAAATTGACTGACCAAGCTTACAACAAAAACGATATTTGATCGTGCATATGACACTATATCAACTTTCCCACCAACTTTTGATATCAATTTGTATTTACTGGGTCGTCATGACTCTCATATCTCAATTATCGATTGGGATCAATTGAGGTGTCTGCTAGCCTACAACTACTTCCTTTAGATGATCAAGAATATGCTTTCGTTGAGAAACAAAAATCATTTTCTTCAATTTAGCAACCTCCATGCCAAAAAAATACCTCAAAGATCAAATGTCCTTGATCTCAGAAACTGTGAGAAGGAAGTCTTCAACCACTTAATCTCATATATATATCATCTTCGGTGAGAAGTATATCATTCACATAAACAATCATTATGGCTATCTTCCTATCCTTTGAATGTTTGAAAAACATAGTATGGTCTCCTTGCCCTTGGGTATACTACTAACATATAACAAACAATGAAAATTTCTCAAACCACGCTTTACACGACCGCTTCAACCAGTATGAGGTTTTTTTTAGTTTGGACACATTTGTATTGATTTTCTCACTAAATCCTAGAGCTGCATCCATGTACACTTCTGCCTTTAAGTCCTGATTAAGAAATGTATTATTTATATCCAACTATTGTAGAGGCAAGTCAAGATTAGTTGTAAATGATAGAATAACTCTTATAGAGTTTAGTTTTGCTACTGTGATGAGGGCGAATGTCTCTAAGTAATCAATGTCATAAGTCTGAGTGAATCCCTTGGCAACCAGTTGAGCCATGTACTGTTCTAGAGAGCTATCAGAATTACACTTGACCATAAAAACTCATCTGCATTCAATAGTTTTCTTTCTTCTAGGTTGATCAACCAATTCTCGCGTGTCATTTATTTTCAAAGCTTTCACATCCTCGAAGACAACCTCTTCCACTTAGGAACTTTCAGAGTATGCTACATAGTATTAGGAATGTCCATACAAGACAAATTAGTGGTAAAAGCCAGCAAATGTGGTGAGCTTTTCATATGATGCATAATGAGATAATGTATATTGGGTGCAAGAACTCACCCCGCTTATAAGCCGCAATGCGAAAATGATTGGAATCATTAGATTTCAGATTAGGGCTAGAGTCAGCTTTAGAACTAGAAGACTCAGAACTAGAAGATGAAGTGGATAGGACTGATCATGGCATAAAGGTTCAGTGAGGACATTACTTTGGAGGGTTTATCAATTTTGTGCAATGCAATTGATTCATCGATTCTTTCTTTTGAGTTGTCCTTTATCGCAACTAAACAATGTCAAATGATATTAAAGTCAGTTTTTTATTTTTTTGCTTCCTCTTTATTAGTTGTTATAAAATTATGAATATCATGAGATGAAACTGCAAAAATATCTAAATCGACTTTAATATCTAAAAAGCTCGACCCACTTTTTCTAACAAAATATAATTTGGATTTTCAGGTTGAACAATCATGTTGAGATATTATTTGATGAGTCATTGATTGGAAGAAAGTCTTGAAAAACAGTAGTCGAATCTTTGTTTTATCCATCCCCTCTTGAAGATGAGGTAAAAAAGAATGTTGTAATTCAGAAAAGGTGACATCCATGTAAACAAACATTTTTTTAGAAAAATGATCAAAATATTTATACCTCTTTTGAGTGGGAGCATAACTAACGAACACATATTTTATAACTTGGGGTTTAAGTTTTTCTTGATCATGATTATAAATATGAACAAATGCAGTTGACCCAAATATCATTAAAGGCAAGTTAGAAGAAATCTGATTTGTTGGGTAAATTTTCTAAAAGATACCAAAAAGCGTTCAAAGATTAATATTTCATTGGGTGTTCATTTAACAATGAATGTAGCAGTAGGAATAGTTTCACCCCAATGATATTTTGGCTTCTTATTTGTAAAGCATTGCCCGATCTACTTCCAATGAATGTTTGTTTTTTTCTTT